GCTTCCTAAACAATGCCTAGGGGAGAGTTAGATGCCTAAGAATGGGATTCACAAAAGCCAGCGTGCTGACTCAGGAGCCACCTAAGCTAGCCAGGAGAAAATGCTGAGGGGAGGGGTGCAGCCTAGCCCTTGCCTCTGAAAGGGACTTAAGTGCCCAAGTTCGGGCCAGAAGGAAGTTTCCATCTCCCCGTAAAGGTTCACCGCTGTGAATCCCTCCTGGAGTTTGGTGCCTAATCCAGGTCAGTTCTTTTCCAAGAAAAAATGAGAAGGTGGAGGTTGCCCCCTCCTTATCATAAAACCAGTGGATGAAGCACTCACCCAGGATGTAGGAGACCTGGGTTCAAATGCCCCCTCTGCCTGATGCGGAGGAGGGATTTGAACTTGGGTATTCTTCTCAGGAGAGTGCCCTAATCACTGTGCTGTGGGATATGGTGGGGTGGGTTTCTCTGTCTCTTGTGTTGAAGCTGTTCCATTGTGTAGAAATACTTAAATATTCCTCGGGCCAAAGAGAGAGAGTGACTCTATTGCCCAGTGGTTAGAGCACTCACCTGGGAGGTGGAAGACTAATTTCAGATCCCTGTTCCACATTAAGCAGATGGGGAATTTGAATCCAGCTCTTGGACATCCTGGGTGAGTGCTCTAACCAGTAGGCTAAAAGTTATAAGGGCACCACTAACACCTCTTCCTCTTCCGTGGGTTTGGGCATGCTGTAAGCATACCTACTGAACTGGGCCCCGAAGGCAAGATAAGTGGAGAATTCCTGATTTGTGAATCCTACTGGGGCTTAAGCATGAGTTAAGTGCTGAGCTACTGGGCAGTGTCAGGACTTAGTGGCTATGTGCATGCCCAGATGCCAACATTTAGGACCTCAGGACCCTCTAATGGTGGAAACTTAGGCACCTTAGGTTAGGCAGGGTTAGGCAGCAGCTGAGCAGGAATTTTCTCAATGCCAGTTGTGGCTAACTGTTGGACTTAGGCATCTAAGTTCCCCTTGTGAAACTCACCCTATGCCTCAATGTGGATGGTACTAGCACTGGTTGAATCCCCAGAAATCTGCTGAGTTTAGGGACAGAATTCCAGCCCCTTCCAACTCAAAATCTGCATTCCTCTTATCCCTTCTTCACCAAGCGAAAAATGCACTGGAAACTATATGAGTGCCAGCTCAGTTTCCTGTCACTTAAACAGGAGTTGTTTGCTTGAAAGACAATAAAGCCAGGGAGGAGTGGCTGAAGATGAAAAGGTGTTTGTAATATGTAGTTATCAAGCTAAATATGGAATGTACAAATTAAGTAAACTTTGTATTTTGCCCTTTTAATGCAAATATCTTCTTCCATCTAGTGTTGCCATATGATCCATGTTTTCATGGCCAATTTGTAGTTCTAATGTTGACCTATATCCATTTCTTTCTTTTAAGTACAAACTGCTTAGAATTTCACACCTCTGAAGAATGTTGACATCTATTGCTTTTATACTATTGCATGTTTTAACCAGATCTATTGAGCTGTATATGGTATTTTCCTAGCGCATACCGCATTTCTATCAAAGATGTAATCCCAAGAGAATGTTTGTGTAGAAACAGCAGAATTTTACCTAGTGCAGGGGTAGAGAATCTTTTTTTCTATCAGGGGCCACTGACCTACATCAAAAATCAGTCGCGGGTTAGACAGCCCCGTGGGGGGCGGGGAGGCTCGGGGCTTCCCCTAGGCTCCAGGTGGGGCCAGAAATGAGGGCTTCAGGGTGTGGGAGGGGGCTCTGGGCTGGGGCAGGGGGTTGGGATGTGGGGAGGGGACTCTGGGCTGGGGCCAAGGGATTTGGAGTGCAGGACAGGCTCAGGGCTGGTGTAGGGGGTTGGGGTGCGGGAGGATGTTGGGGGTGAAGGTTCCGGAAGGGAGTTAGGGTGCAGGAGGGGGTTTTGACCTGGGGCAGGGGGTTTGGGGTGAGGGCTCCGGCCGGGCGACACTTACCTCAGGCAGCTCCAGGTCGGCGGTGCAGTGGGGCTAAGGGAGGCTCCCTGCCTGCCCTGGCTCTTGGCTGCTCTCAGAAGTGGCCACCATGTCCGTCCCCTGGGCAGAGTTGTCAGGGGGTTCTGCACAATGCGCACTGCCCACGCCCGCAGCTCCCATTGGCCACAGTCATTGGGAGCTGCGGAGCTGGGGGTGAGGGCAGTGCGCAGAGCTTCCCTGATCGCCCCTCCACCTAGGGGCCGCAGGGACATGCCGGTTGCTTCCAGGAGCTGTGCAGAGCCGACCGGATTTTTAATGACCTGGCAACCCCAGCTTCTTCCGCAGTGGGGTGAGCCGGTGCTCACGGCTCCAGCCCTGCGGGGGGGCTCCGAGGCTTGGGGATTCCGGCCCATGGCGCAGAGACTTGCCATGGGCCAGGTGAAATGAAGCAGGAGGCCGGATCCAGCCCGTGTGCTGTAGATTCTCCACCCCTGACTTAGTGTAATAAACAATCTCTGGTCAGGTATATAGAGGGAATATTTGTCAGCTAGCTAAGTATACACAACATTAGGAATACAGTTCACAGCCTTTTGGCTCCAAACACACTCTACTTGTTCAGATAATGGAGCAATTCTACTAGTTCATTTTAGAAAAAGGATAAAGACTTGACTTCAGTCAAAGCCTTTAAAGATTACTTGAGAATCACTAGATTGAGTCCAAGGTCCTCTTTCTTGCTTCATGGGCTGGCATGGGAAGGCAGCTCATTTAGACTTGGGGTGGAGGGATGGAGCACTTATGTTGCTGTCTGGAGACAACTGGTAACCACAGTAGGATAAGTTTTGGGGAGCTTTGAGTGAAATCCTATTCAGCCTTACTCTATCAAGGAAGGTAATATGACTTGAGGCCACTCTCTGTATGTAATTTCAGACTTTTCATTACACGAGGAATGTTTTGTGACTTGTGAAAGGAGTTGGAGCCCACTATCAAGGAGAGAGGAGGAAAGGAGCACTCCGTAGAGAATAGCTGATTGAGATAGTTATTCAAGAGAGCACAGTTATAGACTGTCTGCCTTTGTCATTTGGGAAGGGGACATTGGGTTTCCCTGTGGTAGAGATGATAGAGATGGAAGTTGCAAGTGAATGCCCATTTGCACTTTTCCTACAACTCTCTCCATGCTTCCATGCCACCTCTTGCCAAACAGCCATAGGGTTTAGGCGCCCAAAAAAAGAAAAAAAAAAAAAAAAAAAAAGCCGCGATCGTGATCTGCGGCGGCAATTCAGCGGGAGGTCCTTTGCTCCGAGCGGGAGTGAGGGACCGTCTGCCGAATTGCCGCCGAATAGCTGGACGCGCCGCCCCTCTCTGAAGTGGCCGCCCCAAGCACCTGCTTGGTAAGCTGGTGGCTGGAGCCGGCCCTGCCTCTTGCACATGTAATACACTTCCTGAGTTAATCCATCAATTAATCCATCCACTCTTTCCTTCAAACCACTCCTCAAGACCGTAGGTGCTGCCACACCTCCTGGCTTGAAGTGTTTTCTATCATAGACAGGGTTTGCAGTGTGGTTCAATGGCTCTCAGCACCCCCATTATACAAATTGTTCTAGCACCCCTGTTCAAGACCCACATCTGGTGTGACAGCTAAAAAAAAATCAGACAAATAACGACAGGCTGAGCAGCACTTGCAGGACAGCCAATATATATATAAAAAACAACTCAAAACAAACAAACAAAAACACAATTCAGGACCATAAATATGTGCACATAAGATCACATGGTGACTTGGGTCACCTATAGCTTGTTTCAAGTTAGGTGATAAGCTCTTCAAGATAAGGACCATGTTTTATTGTGGGTTTGTACGGTGCCTGGCACAGTGGGGCCCTGATCCTGATTGGGTGTTTGGATGTTACTGCCATATGAACAGTAATAAGAAGAATGGACTTAATACTCTTCAAAGAGAGAAGCAGAATCTGGTACAGAAAATGTTCAAAGAAAATTATTTGTTGTGGTTTTTTTTTTTTAATCTTAAGCAATAGCACAAATCTGTGGTATCCAAAGTGTGGTTGATGGAGCACTTGCTGTGGGTGTGTGGAGAGCTGGCTGGTCACAAGGTGCTGCCTCCAGCTCCTCCTTTATTAACATGGCTAAATCACAGTCAAGGTAGTTATAGATAAATTAAAGGCTTTCTGAATATTTTCCATGTAAATGATTGCTGTGGTTGCCCTGGGGTGCTATTCAGTTCTGAATGGCAGAGGAGGTGTCCATGAGACACACTCTCTTAAGACTTTGTTTACATCTAAGGTTTAAGAACCCCTGGCATGCATCTTTCAGAAGTAGTCAGTTTGGTTTAGGTAAATGGGTTTTGTCAAATTGCTTGGTCAGCCCACACACATCCTAAATGAATTTGTCTGTATTCCTTCTAGTAAAGGAGAGTAGAACAACTGTGCAGAAATCAGTAGATCACACACCTCTCCCATTTCCCTTCACACACCAACCTTCACTCAAAACAGTGCTTTGCAGGGTATTGGTGGTTCACCAAAGTGCATTCTAAGAGCTCAGTGCCCAATATGTAATTATATAATTATGTAATGGTACATGAAGAGACCAGCCCTAACCTTATACTGATACTGCCAAAAACATATATCTCTCCTAAGTGAACTAAAAGAGTACTCTGCTAATTCAGACAGGAGGGAAAACAGATAAGGAACCAGCTCAATCATTTAACAAGTCTGCAAAGCACCTAGCATGTTGTGGGCACCGAACCAATAAAAATGCATACTACAGTGAAGGACAGCGATACACATACAGTGTATGCAGGCTGTAGAAAATCCTCATTAGCTGGAAAATTAATTTGTTCACACATTGTAGAAAGTGACTGAAGTCTAAAAATAAATCATCCTCAGAAGTTATTTACTCTGAAAGTTTAAACGTTTTAAAATATTCCTTCTAACATATAACTTCTTCTGATAATGAGTGAATTAAATGATCTTGGTGATTAATAAATCCAATAATTAAGGCCCTGTTCTTGCAATGGAATCCATCTAAACAAACATTTATACCTAGGGCTAAAGATTGCAGGGGTCCCTTTGCAGGATTGGGCCCTAACTGAATGAGGTAAGCGATGCTTCTATTTCATATTGCATGATGAAAATAAAGTAACTTTTTGTACTGGCTATAACACAGGACAGTTTGTCCCAAATTTTCAATCTGTTGTCTGACAAAGCTGTACAGAACCTCTAGTGCAGTGGTCTCCAATTTTTTTTGATCGCGCACCCCTATCAGTAAAAAAAATTTGAGCACACACCCCCTGCCGCGCTGGCTCTACCATTTTTGCCAAAGCCAAAAAAAAAAAAAAAGCTGCTCGGACTCCCTCCTGAACTGCTGAAGCAAAAAAAAACCAAAACAAAACAAAGCAAAGCCGCTCCTCCTGCCGCGCACCCCCACTTTGGAGACCACTGCTCTAGTGCATGTATGTGCATAAGTCAGAGTTGCCCGTGCATGTAGCTAAGGATTTGTTAGTTGAGAGCATGTGTGTACTTTGGCGTGACCCTGTTAGAAAACTTAGTCCATTTTTGCATGAGAACAGAAGTACACCAGGTAAATGTTAACGTTGTTTAGTTAAATTTGGGTGTCTGATATGAATATGGTTTTATATGTATTAAAAAGATTAAAATCATTGTACTTCAGCTGTAATAATACACTGTGTGCATGTATTTGGTATTTAAACTTACATAACCAAAGATCCATCAATAGTTATTTTCCTTTAGGGAAACTTTAGAAATCCTTTTTGCAACTCTAAAACTCATATACATGAGTTAAGACTATATTGTCTGTTGTTTAAGGTGAGTGTAAGGACAGACATTAGTATTTTATAATAGATTCTTAATCCTTTGTTCTGGAAAGTGTTGAAGTTTTCATTAGAGTTAAAATATGTTGCATGTTTACAGAAAGGTCCACATATTAAGATTTCAGTCTATCCGTTTTAATTATTTGAATCATTAGAACATCTAATTTTTGCTTAAGAATACGCAAATGTACCATTAAATCTGTTTTTTAAGATTTTTTTCCAGTTTAATATCTGAATCCAAATTCATAAAGAGTTGGAAAAATGAGATGTCTGAGCTATAGGATTCACAGGGATTTCATATGAAGCCTATTTAATCAGGATAACACTGTTATTAATATTCATAAAGTCAGCTGGAACACAAATGACAGACTATGGGGCCTAAAAATTTTTACTTGGTGAATTTATTAAAAGCAGCTTAAAAAATTAATGGAATTTAAGTAAAGTTGGCAAAAATGAAAATCTTATGTTAGCAGAAAAGAATCTTTATTAGAACTTTCTTTAAGACGATCTTGCATTGATATCTTTGACAGATTTCATCGGTACTTAAAGAAGAAAGATGCATGAATGGTCATTTAAAAGGATTTAAACACATTGGCACATTAATTTTTACATGAATAATAAGTAGTTTCCAAAAGCAATTAACTTACAGTGTACAAGATTTGAATAGAAAAATAAGACTGTGACATGAAAGGGCAAAGCAAATGTGCTGTACATTTTAAACTTGGAAATGTGACTTCTTAAAATAATTTGATTTATTTCATCTCGACAATGAGTGTATTGTCTGCAGATACTTGTCCATGGCCTCTGCTTGTTTTTAGGTGTCTAAAGATCAATAACATAAACTTATTTTGCTCGCAGGAAATCTTATTAGCAAGGAACTATTCAATGTCTTAAAGAGCAATAACCATGTTTATGAATGTACTTTTTGTAAGTTCAGTGTTTGTGGAAATGACCATATACAGGACATTTGCAAATACTGCTTACATATTCTTTGTACACTTTACTAGAAAGCAATATGTAAAGACAAGTTAGGGCTGGAACTAATTTAAAAACGGGGAAGTTATTAATAAATTTATATTCAGGTACATAAGTAACTTTTCACTTAAATTTGCAAAGCCTTATTTTTGCACAGTTATTGGATGTGGCATGCTATGTCAATTCATAGTTTTCCTTGCTTAATGTCCTGGTTAGGTGCTGATGTGTACAGGACGGAAGCTGTAATAGGATGTTAAGATTATATCAAAACAGGATATGTATAATTGGTACCATCTTCAATTGAAGAATTGTGAATAAGGAAAGAGCATTTTAAATCAAACTTGAATTGTGTCATTGAAATATGTTGTTTTGTGGCCTTAATTTCCTCTTACCATTTTTATAATTTTATTTAACCTTTTCCCCAGTGGTATATGGTCACCTTCTTCTTGCCTTAGACCCATCTATATGGGATCGATGCTCTTTGAGTCCTTCTTCTTCATTCCAGTCTGTCTTGCAGCAGTTCCTTGGAAACTCTGCAGCTTATCAAATCCTTTTGTGTGACATCCATCCATCTAGTTTTGCGTCTTCCAACCCTTCTCTTACCCTTCACTTCTAAGTTTAACACCCTGTTTCCTATATTCTTCTATTGTTTCTTAAATTTTCATTTATTTTGATTATCACCTTCATTAGGTTAAGCAGAAGACTGTTTTCTTAATAAAAGCACTCAGTAATGCCTGTGGTAATAAATCAGTTACAAAACTTTTATTTCATTTTAAAAGGGAATTTAAGTAGAATAATGCATTCCAATTCTTTAGTGATTCATTCACAAAGAAACTTTTTTGACCATGTCCAACTTTTTGTTGATTTGTATGAGTTATTCAATGCTGTCAGAATGGTAGCATTGTAATTAGTTTTGTTACTCAATGTTACTTAAATACCTCATGGAAACATATGTTGTCTTGCTTGCAAATATTGCGTATAAGCTACGTTTTATTGTGGATTTTTTTAAGAATAAGCCTGGACACTTACTTAGCAAAACTGAATAGTGAGATATTTTGAAAAGTAATATTTTGTTGATAACAGAGGGGAAAAAAAACAAATTAAAAAACCCAACTGCCTGAAAAAATTGTATTAGTTGACTTTTACCAGTAAGTCACTCAGCATAGTTTGATCACCATAGTTGACTTTCTTTCTGTGTAAAACAAAACAGTTTCTATTAATTAATTATGGGTGTTTGTGTAACATATGAGAGAAGCTACAACCTCTAAAAGTTATGCCATTCTCCAAGTTATGGCGCTGATTATTCAGTAGATTTCTTATTCACTATTATCTCCAGGAGAGGGCAGCCTTTTCCTACAACAGGTACATAAAAGAACATGCCCTGCTTAGACTGTCAATGTTTCTTGTAATTACTCCCAGTATATTTGTTGCTTGCTTATGAATTAACTTGCATTTATGGAACTAAATCATTCCAATCATTTAATTACACCTGAGGAGCTGAACTATAATTGCTTGCTTCCAGCTAGGATCTGATATGGCTTGAGCAGTATTAATTTGATGTTTACTTTTCTGAGTGCTAAAAGCATTAAAATGATTGTGCAATGGGATTACATTTTACTAATTGCTGGCATTCATTAGCTGGGTAAATCGCGAGGAAGAATGACTGTATATTGTACAGGGATAAAATTATGGTTTTAAATAGTATATTACTAGGCGCATTAAGGCTCTAAGACATGTTTTAAAATACTCTGGAGGTTATTAAAGACTGTATTTTCTTCATGTCTTGCTATATGAATATCTTATTAAAAGACTGCAATTATTATGAATCTTTTTGTGCAATATGTAGGGAAATGGCTTCATTGACTGAAACATATTTCTTTGGTATTAATAACCTTCTATATTTTCAGCTAATCCAAAAGTAAATGAGGAACTTAGAAAAAGGTTGCCAACTCCAAATCAACACAGTTATACAGAATCAAAAAAGAAGAAGCTTACAGCTTCATTTGAGGACTTTTGTAAGGCACTCACTGTTCTAGGTATGCAGTAAAGTTATCTTTTCTTTCACTCTTAAGAAGCAAGCACATCAAATAAACACTTGCACTGCTTTCATCATGTACACTTACACTTAGGACAAATATGAGCTAGAGATACTACTAATTCCTAAATGTTTACTGTAAATGTTAGTCTCAATAAAGCTTATCAGTGGTCTTCAGAATTAATTTTTTATAATCTCAACTTAAAAATGACAGGCCCTTCAGTTTTTGATGTAGCATAGAAGGAAAACTCCCCCCCGCCCCCTGCTTCTTCACTAGTAAGGGGGGAAGGAGGGAAGAGAAACCTTTATCTTGGTATCATTTACTGGATTTTATACATTCACTTTTAAGATTTTTCACACTACATCCGATTTATTTGCAGAGATGGTAATTCCCTGTGCATTTTCATTAGCCCATACATTACCTCTTCACACTGTATTTTTAGACAAATGCAGAATACAATATCCTGTTTATTTTTGGGTGTTTCACCAACACCTGTGCTTGAAGGGTAAAAAATTGCTGTTGCTATAGATAATTTAAAAAGCGATGCTAGAGTAAATATTAAAGTTTATGGTAAACTTAGATGTCAAACAAAAAGCAAAGCTCACAAATAAAGTGTATGGTGAAATGTTTAGACAAAGTATCATAAGATAATATGCTGTATGTAAAAATGAAATTAAATCCATCATATTAAATAGTTAATGAAAATCTAAAGAAATAAAAGGTCTTTTCAGTACAGTAAGATTACCATAAACTGTAATTAAATATTGTCGTGACTAGTTGAAAAGTTTAGTTTTATATTACAGTATATAATACGGAACAGTATATATATAAAGTGCAGTTTTTTTATTATAGAGGTTTGAATTGTCTTCCTAAATACAAGCTTAAAGTACAAGTTGAAAATGTGCATGGTTATTTTGTGTGTTTCTCATGAAATTCACAAAGACAAGCATATTATAAACAGCTCAAGGACTCAATTCCGCAAGTACTTACTACCACGAGTAGCACTTGCCACAGTGGTGAACAATGCCTTTGCCTTCAATGGAACTACTTGCTGTAGTAAATGCTGCACTTGGTAGCATGTGTTTGCAAGATCAAGACTTGAAGAAGGAGGCAAACTAATAAATACTTCAACAAAGGCATTAAACACAGCAGAAAGCTGAATAAACCATTATATAAACTAAATGTGTGAAGAAAAAAATCTTTTACTGAGAAACGTAGCTTAGCATTAACTGTTAAAATACACAGAGTTTATTGTTCTACTATAAATATTTTTAAAATCATTTGTCTTGTAAATTCTCTGTCAAATAAAGGGTAGGTATAGGTGTGTTCTAATATATTGTTTCAAGTTTATTTATCTAGAGTTGGCTTTATTTTAGCTCTGCAATCTTGGAGCAAAAACCAGAGTGAGTGCCAGATCAAACAAGTTCAGAAGTACAAATGGAGGACTGGTCAAAAGGTAAGGACTTTTAAGGTGTTAATGCGTAACCCCAGGTGGTGTACCAGTGCTAGGTACTGACTGGAATGTATTTGTTCTTGCCGATATATTGAAGTGACTTTTTTTTTCCAATCATTTTGCTCTGCCTCTTGGAAACATTTGGGGTGAAAGAAAAGCAGCTGCAAGATTACATCTTTTAAAATCGAATTTTAAAACTTCCATGAAAGAAAAAATGTGTAAATCTTCAACCAGTGTAGTTTTTTGTAGATGACTGTAGCTCTTCTGCATTTTGCAATGTTAAGGGACTTCAGTTAAACTCTCAGTTGTGATATTCAGCATTATTATGACTTATGTGTATTACTGTAGTGCTAAGGAGTCCTAGTCATGGACTGGGACCTCATTGTGCCAGGCACTGTGCAAACACAGAACAAAAAGATAGTCCTCGCCCCCAAAGTGCCATTACTTTCTAACTTAGTTTTTTCACGAATGTAATAAAAAAAAATTTATCTTAAAATTAAGAGTCATGGTATTTTTTCTGTTATTCAGACCCTCGTGGTGGGAATCAAAATCTTGTTATTAATATTAAATAATTTCTTAATATTAGCTTAGTTCAAATCTCATGACAGTGTAGCATTTGATCCAGCAATGTGCGGTGTCTCCCCTGTTGACTTCAATAGGGGTTTGAGGGCACTTGGCACCTTGTTAGGGGTTGGGGCTCTTAGAATATGTCTACACTACAGCTGTGAGGTGTGAGTCCCAGCACAGATAGCCATACTTGCAATAGTTCAGCTTAAATTAGCATGCTAAAAATAGCAGGGTTTATGTTGCTATGCTGGCAGGGGCTTGGGCTCACCGACCAAGCTTGGTCCCAAGGGGTCGGGCGGTCTTGGACTCCAGGGGCCAGCACAAGCCACTGCCATTGCCGCAACGTCCACACTGCTATTTCTAGCATGTTAGTTCTAGCTGAGGTAGTGCAAGTCTTCCAGCTGCAACGTTGACATTCTGATTGGGATGGGGAAGAGTCATCTTATATTGGAAAGAACCAAAGGAGTTCTCAGGTATGTCTTTTCAGTGGTGATAGAGAGTTCTGTGGGAGAGGGGTATCTCATGGGGGAACTGCATGAGAATTAAGTGTCTAAGGTGGTATCACATGAATGGGCTAGATCCTTTGTAGGAACAGAATGCCTAAGGGGTCTAATGGAGTGATGGTAAGTCATGAGGTGGCCCATATATCTTGAAGAAAGGAAAGGATGTGGGAGGTAGAGTCCAAGTGTCTCATGGAAGAAAGGTGCTCACAGGGAAATGACCATTACTATGGGCATAGAGATAGGGTTGGGAAGAGTGGGGCAGAGAAGAATCAGGTCGCTAATGGCCTCAACCACAAAGAACTCTGCTATGATAGCCCCTAGTGGCACCTCATGTATCTGTGACCCAAATTTTCACCTCCCCACTGTTTCTCCAAAGAGAATAAATTTCAAATATGCCATAAAACCAGTCTTGCATTTGCAAGGCAAGGCAGAGAAAGCATTCGTTTTCTTTTGGGGGAGGGGACTTGCTTCTTACTGGTTTGGAGATTCATAATTTTCTTGGAGTGATAGTGTATGTAAAAACAATCTACAGGCATATTTTAATCCCCATAATGTAGAATGCCTGCTGAGGTAGATGAAAAATATTTCTGAATCAAATACTTACGAAATAATCTCAGTGCAGTAGCTAAGTGGAAAACTGGAGAACTTGTCTTTCACTATACTATGTTTTCAATTTTATGTAGCTAATTCAAATGTAGTACCTTTAGACCTTTAGGGGTCAGCATACCCTAAGAAAGGTTCAAAAGGTTAACTGTTCCAAAGGAGCTAGCAATGAGTACCTTAAATTCACTGTGTATTAAACATTTCCTGTCAAATTTCAAGAAATGGTATTAATTTCATAGCTTACAGAATCTTTAAAAAACCTGCTGGCTATTTAATGAGTTCCATTTATTTGAAATCACTTCTGATGAAAGGATTTCAAAGTTTTATATTGCTTAGGAAAGGACATTATTTCATGCAAATGTTTATGTATTTGTGGGTCCAATAAAAGATATTATCTAACTTTATGAAATATTGAAGATGAAAGCATGCATAGCATAACATAGAATTAAGTTGTAATTAGTAATTTACAAATCGTATGATTCTTATTCACTTGTATCCATAGGAAAGTTAAGAAAGAGGTACTTGCTATTAACAGTGTTAATAGTTTTGATGTTGTGATTTACTGAGATCTGTTGGGCATACAGAGCTCCTTGTCATCACTTTGGTTTAAATTGAAAAAGAATATTATTTCAAACAAATAACTCACTGAAACTGTTTTCCAGTACTAAGAGCCTAGATACTTTACTGGTGTAATTGGCCTGGTTGCCATCTTGGTAATAGGTAAAGGCCTTTTATGTAACCAAGGTGAACATCTGATTTTTTTGGATGACCCACTACATCCAAAATGACTTCAAGTGTTCTCCCTGAATAATTAAAGTAGAAACTTGCCATTGTTTGTGTCCCTCAATCCTCCATGCTGTCCTCTTAGCTGTTTTTCCTTCCTGCATTGGATACTATACTGCCTCCAATATTCCCCTCCACATAGGTTGCTTCTAGAAATAGCTCCTAATGACTATTTCTGATTCAGAACCTGTTTTACAGCATAAGCAAATACCATTAGGCATGGCTGAGGTTAAATTCATGTGGTCAGAAGAAACTCAACCAAACAAAGAGATTGGAAAGATAAGTTATTACCTCTGGAGAAATAGCAGTTTTAATAATTACATGGTACATTGGGTAATTTGTTTATGTATTCCAGAAAATAAAACATTTGAGAGAGCAGTTTAAGAAGGACATTGTATTTTAAATTTGTTTTGGAATTCAGTCAGTCTTTGAAACCTCCATACTGTTTGGATTATAAATGTCTTCATGAATTGAAGACATGCTTTTGCCTCTGTTCGTAGGTATTAGAAAGGGTTAAAAACTAGTCTGTGTGTAAGGATTACCATTTTGGTCTTGGGTCTAATTTAAATTTACTGTTTATGTCCACAGGACCTCGTTTTTAATAGGGGGATAGTGGTTTCTCACATATTTCTCTCAAGTATTCTTAGATGGAATGGTTTAGGATCATTGGCAGCTGGCCAGTGAAAACTGTTTCATTTCCAGATGAAATGCTCAGATTCCAAGCCCGAAAGCATGGGACTAAGGTCTATTCTAAAAAGAAATTTAATCTGACGAATGTATGTATAAAGTTTGCATGAAAATTAAAAGAAGTTGGAAATTGGGATGTAAAACTTTTATCTGGTGATGGCCTAAATGTGTGGCAAAGCACCAAAATATGGAGAACACACAAATATAAATAAATAAAAGCAGATGAGGAGGCTTGGAACAGCATGGGCTCTTTTTAGGTATATAGGTTTCTATGAACTAAACTTCAAGATTCAATATTTTTATACCAACTCACAGGAAATAGCAGGATTTGGAAAAATGGCAGGTAAATTTACTTGGAGGTAAATTTGTGTTTGAACTGAGTGATGTCCAATGTGAAGAGCTATATTTGAAAGGTGTACTTGAAGGGTTAAGGGGATGTTTCATTGCTAACTACAAATATGTTTGCATTTGTTATACTTTTTGCAGTTGTGATCTTTTTGTCTATGTTGTGTTTTTGTGTGTGAATTTATTTGATTTAAGGAAAGGAGGGAGATAATCCGTCTTGGATACGTAAGGTAAATTTTGATCTCTTAACCAAAAATGACAAGAGATATTCTGTCACTGAGTCCAAACTGGAGAAAATGATCATGACGATCTGATTGCTGTGCATCTAGAATTACTAACTTTGTAAAAGTAGGTAACTTAATTTGTCCTTTTTTTGTTGCTTTTAAAAGTGGCAAAATGGTTTGTTCACTTAATGGGCCAAATACTTACAAAGCCTGTGGTTTTTGCTTTTGTTTTTTAGTTTGGATTTTTTTTTTTTTTTAGATTACATTTTATTATTGGAAGAACTGAATTTCAAATAGGCACAAATAGTCACCAGACCAACAACTTCTTTTGCCCCATATGATTACATAGTAAAAAAAAAATTAGTATGAGAGTCGAGTTACCAGCATTGTGTTAATCAAACAACCCTGGAGTTTAAACTCTTTAGGGGAAGGAATTGTCTTTTAGTAAGTGTGTGTACAGTATTCAGCATAATGAGGGCCTGATCCCTGATTTGGACGTGTAGGTGCTACTATAAAGTAAATAATAACTCACTCATTTATTTTATTTGTGAGAGTGCCCAAAAAGTATCCAAAGTTTTCACTGCTGTTTTCTATATTTTCTATATTCAGATTCTGACTATTTGTATTTAAAACTTTATTTTAAAACAAATTATGATCCCAGCTGGAATCTTGCATGCCCAGTTTCTTTCTGGAGAAGGAGTTATTAGCACAAAGTTTATAAGTCCTGAAAATAGGAGTTTTTAATCAAAACCTTCAACCATAGTTATATAAATATCGCAGAATAAGATCAGTAATATAGTTCCCTCTCATTTTACACGTTAGGGGTAGATTGCATAGTGAGCTAACGAACCAGTGTTTCAAATTCTAGTGTGGTGACAATTAAAATGAATACACTGGTTTCATCTTAGTTCCTAGAGGACATTTGTCTGCTTCATAAAAAGCACTTTAATTTGTACCAAATTTCGCATGCATGTCACTGACTGTTGAGAGGCCCACAGTTTAATCAGGTTGTGATGATGTAGGTTGGATTTGAGTTGCATTGGCATAGCAGCGTGTGGAAATTGCCATAGAATTTACTGTGTGCTATGCTGATTCTAACTTACTATCATGTTCAAGAATTTCCCCCTTCATCCCCAGGAAAAACAGAAGCAGAGTGGGGGGAAGTAATAGACATGTGGGCCAGATTACCATAGTTAGATATATACAGTTCCTCAGATATATTTGCGTGTGCCTGGTTTATGCATTTAAATACTTAGTGTTCGTGTACAGCTGCCTTGTGTGTGCACATATG